ATCCATCCATCCATCCATCCATCCATCCATCCATCCATCCATCCATCGCAGCCTGAGCCGTTAGCTCTCTAGCGTTTCTTCATCTGCACCAGCTGAGTGAAGCGAGCGCGGACGCGAGGACTCGCTGTTGCAGTTCTTCAAAATTTAAAGCTTCAGTCAAAAATTATGTTATGAATATGAAAAAAAAAACGTATATAAGTTGCTTCAGCGTGGAAGTTGCAGATCTAGCAAATCAATGCAAAAAGCTGCAACTTATGCCAGAAAATATGTTAAATACAATACAGATCAGATTAACAGAGCTTTCTACTATATTAGTAAGTTAGAGTTTTTTATGTTATCCGGTGGAAACACTCGTCAGAAGTTTGATTTTCTTACCATTTAATGCATGACTGGAGTCATTTTGTTGCGCCACAGGTCCAGTTCTAGCCACGGTCCCTGCAGAACAAAAGTGGATCAACACATCTCTCATGTCACACTAAGGTGGGAACATTGATAAGAAAAAAAAAACAACACAGAGCTGTGATTGGAAAAGCAAACCCACCGGAGTAAGACGTTTGACTTTTCCAAAAGTTAATTCTTCCACTGCTTCACTAGTTCACGTTGAGTGAGGTTCTGTGGGAAGGTTATGAACAAGTACTATCTCACCTGTTGTAGATGGCTTTTGGAACAACCTCTTTTTAGAGAAATAAAGTTTATTTCTGACCAGATTGATGAGCTAACGACTAGTCCATGCAGACCTGATATCCCAAACGTTTTATTATTGTAATTGTTGGATTTGTTTGGACTAGAGAGATGCACCGATCCGATATTAATATCGGTATCGGCACCAATATCGGGAAAAATAATTCTTGATCAGGTATCGTGACAATGTGACCGATCCATAAGGACAAGAGCTGATTGCTGGTTTTATTTTTAAATATCTGCCAACCAAGCTATTGTTTTTTCCTCTAATTTCAGCTCCTTTATTATTTATTTTACATTATATTTAAAATTCCTGAACCATTTGAAAGGTTTGTTGAAGTTTGTTTTTTCATGTTTGACCATAAGTGTCAAGCTATTGTTTTTGTCAGTTTCAGTATCTTTATTATTATTGGGTGTTATACTCATATTTGCACTAACTGAACAACTTAAAGTTGTGTTGTTTTAACATGTTTGACCAAGCTTGTGAAACTATTGGTGTGTTTAAGTGTGTTGTACTGGTGCAGTTAGACCTGTCGCGATAAACAATAAATCAACTAATCGCCTGCACGACAAAAGGATCAACTCCGGTGCTCTTCACTGACCCCTCCCTTTCTTTTTGCTTTAAGATCTGTTTTAACCGTCCAAAATTGCGTTTTTGGATCGTTAAAAGCAGCTAAGCTAAGAAGCTAAGCTACGTGCTAAGCTAACAGGCCGACCTCTGGGAAAAAACCTCCATCTTGTCGAAGCTCCAAAATTCATGGTTGAAACCTGTGCTTTTGTGTAAAAAGTTGTTTTTCTCTGCAAAAATAAGCTGAGAACTTGCTTACTGATTTTTTTATTAAAAGCTTTATGTGACAAATGCTATGCTAAAGAGCTCAAACCACACTGAGCGTCCGCCATTTTGGGAATCGAAAAACGTAAAGAGACAGCCCGTGTCACGTCAAGGGGCCTCCCTCCCATTTTTCTTAAAGAGACACGCTGCTCGCTCCCTCACTATCCATCCTTTGGTTCAAACAGTCTTATACTTCCATCTGCTCATCAAAAAAAGTACTGCACACAAAATTAACCAACATTTATTCTTAAATTTTACAATAATTATTAATTATTGTCAAATTTCAAACAATATTATCGTTTATCACAATAATATCTGAGACAATTAATCGCCCAGCAAAATGAATTATCGTGACAGGCCTATGCAGAGTTTTCAATAAATTTGTAATTCATTTATGTCTGTGTTTAAAAAAAGAAATGTTTTTAGTTAATTCAGCACTGCTTTTCTGTATCGAATAGGCCGAAACTAAAACCCAAACATCTGTATCAGTATCGGAAGTGAAGAAAAAAGTGGATTGGTGTATCCCTAGTTTGAACTAGGCTTTAGCTCATCAATCAGGTCAGAATTGAACTCTTCTCCAAACTGAGTTTCTTCAAAGAGCTATCTGCAGCAGGTAAGATATTAGGTGGTTATAACCTTTCCACAGAACCTCACTTTGAAGGACTGAACTTTTGTTTTAAAGTTTGTTGATGGTTTTAGTGGTTCTAACGTTATAATGAGGTGATGGAAAATGTAAAAATATCTAAATAAGTAAGTGATATGGTGCAGCCCTGTTCTGACATGAAAAAGTTGATGGGATCCAGTGATCCGGTAAATCCAAGAAGACTCTGAGATGTGACATTTGCTCCTCGTCAGTTTGTATTTCTGGCAACAACCATTTTACAATCTGGTGAAGAGAGTTTGTAAATGAATTATGTGAAGTGATTTACCAAGCTTTCCACTATGCAGATTGTCCGATTATTTACAACCTTAAAAAAAAGGTCTTAAATTCAGGTTTGGCTGTTGCAGAACGCTTGAACACAACTGCACGGGAAGTGTTGAAGGAGGAAACTCCACTTCACTTGTTCAAACTCAAGTGGAAAGATGCTGTCAGAAGATGCTCATTGTTGAGATTTGTTTAAAATGTTGCAACAGACATTTTGTAAATAGCAACAAAAACAATTTGGATTATTAACACGAGACCAATGCTTTGTTTCTACTGCAGAAACCATTTTATGGTTATTGTTCTGTTTTAGCACCAGTTATTAGAAATTAGTCATAACATATATTAGAAGATTGACATAATAATATTGTTGACATATGGGAAGCCCGGGCCTCCTTTGGACAAGAGTACCCGTACAGCACATTATACGCCAATCAACAAAACATTATACAACAACCTATAGCAATGGCTCAGACAAGCAAAGAGCTTGTATAGCCTTTGCACTTGATATGTGACCTTGATTTGTGACCTTGACGTTGACGCTCTGTAATGAAAAGATTAAGTGACACTGTCTAGTGCTGGTACAACTGAGTATCAATGTTCGTCAAGTTTTCTCGAGCGAATCAGAACTTATGGCCAAAAAAGCAAATACCTTGTTTCAATTTTGACCTTGATTTCTGACCTTGACCTCAAAGATGAGGTGATGAAACGTGTACGCAACACTCTTTCTAGTGATGATGCACATGTGTATGAAGTTTAATTAAAATTTCTTGTGCGGATCAAACGTTACGGGCGGGACAATATAATAATAACAACAACAAAAAAACAACTATAACACTAATGATTAGAATACTACTACTACTGATAATAATAATAATTACAACAACAACAACAATAACAATAATAATAATAATGCGAACCACAAATAAAGAAACTTTGACTTTTTGACTTTGACAATAATAATAATTATAATACAGTAGTCCCTTGTTTATCACAAGGGGTTCCGTACTCTGACCCCCCCCCCCACTCCCCCATAAGTGAAAAACTGTGAAGTAGCAATAGTAGTACAAGTAGTAAGTAGTAGTTTATTTTGGTATATATATATCCACACTCTTGTAATATTCTAAACAATGTTTCTAAACTCTAAATGCTCTAAAAGAGCACAGCATGTCATGATCTCCTCTCTCTGCCACAGGCTGCACTCTCGGCCACGCCCACTTCTCCACTGCAGTGTGGAGATATGGCACGCTGCAGGATCTCCTGCAGCTGTGGGCTGCACACAGGTGCAGCAGGTGCTAAATAATTTAAAATAATTAATTTTGAATAAAAATTCCATGCCACTCATGCGGCTCATCCATCAATCAGCCAAATGAGTGTCATGTTCAATCTTACTTTGAAAAAACGCAGAAGAACAAGTCTGCGAAGTAGCAAGGGACTACTGTAATACTACTACTACTACTACTATTACAAATACTAATAATAATAATGATATAATAATAATAATAATAATAAAATAACAAGCCTGTTATCTCAATGGGATTTGCCCTATTAATTATAGAGTAATGATATATTAACATATTGACAGATCAGCATATTGAGATTTTAGAATATTGATAAATTGGTTTGGCAGTGAAAAAAATCATTATGCGTTCGTAATGGCTGTGCTTCTGAATAAATGGAATGCAAATTACATTTCCAAAGAGATACCCCATCACACAGGAAGTTAATTAATTATGATTTGTACCTGTTCTGATGGTGGGCTGCACGAAACTGACTCTCATGGCAGATTTTCCTCCGTTTTCTGCTGCTGCAGTCGGTCTCACTGAAAAGAAAGGGTTTGTAAAACATTTCATTTAAGATTATTTTTCCCAGCCTGCCATGTGTGCTGGACTGTAAGCAAATGTTCTTTAGCTTAAACCGTCTTAAAAAGCAAAGAGAGCGAGGTTAATTATTTTTCTAAAACAGAACAGGTTGTTGACAGAAACAGTTAGAGTCTGAGAGCTGCTCTTCATGCCTTCTGCCTCGCGCTTCGGTTTAGCATAATTGACTCTGCTTTGGTCAGCCGAACAGATTTAAGAGCCGAATGAAAGTGGAAAGTGATTTCATGCTCAGCTGACAATTCATCACAAAGGTACGGTAATTTCCTGCGGTTGGACAGTTTTTTCATGATGCTGCCTCTCTGAAATGTCTTTACAGTTGTCATGGAGAAACGTTGAACTGAAATTTCTAAAGCAAATGATGTGAAATAAATTAAACTTCTTCCTCAAAAAAAAAAAAAGGACCAGCTTTTGTGCCTTTTTTTATTTTTTTATTTTACCTGATTTAACAGTGCAGACAGTGATGCTACGGCGGCCTACCTGGGTTGGGACACTTGTCCTGGCACTTGGTCAGACTCCTGAAGTTGTTGGCGTTTCCAAAGCAGCCGCCGTAAAAGAACGGCTTGCACTGCTGAGTGCTGCTGTCAAAGAAGTAGCGCGAAACCAAACCTCGACAGGGACCCGGAGCCTCCGGTAAATGACACGGGCTCTTGTCATCTGAAAAAAACAAACAAAAAAAAACCCAACAATCTCTGTGATTATTAGGCTTCAGGGTCAGACTGTGATGTTTGTAAGTAAGTACCGGTACTAGTTTGTTAAAATTTTTATGAATAATTATGAGGTTTTTTTTTTTGTTCTTGTGCCATTATTTCCACTAGATGTGCTCTATGATCTTTGGTTCCTACTTTGAACACGTCACCTGTTTTCTATTAGTAATCAGCACACCTGCTCTCACTCACTAATTACTACTGTTTATTTTCTTCAGATCATTTTTTAGGTCTTTCTTAGATCCATCCATTTTGTTTTACGGGTTGCAGGGAGCCGTGTCTCTGTGTGAGAGGCGGGGGACACCCTGAACAGTTCCCAAGTCCATCACAGGGACACATGGAGACAAACAATCACTAACACATGCACCTAGGGACAATTTAGAGTTACCAATCAGCCTGACATGCATGTTTTTAGTCTGTGGAAGAAACCATAGTAACCGGAAAAAACCCCACACATGCACGGTGAGAACATGCAAACTCCACCCAGAAAGGTCCCTGGCTGGGATGCAAACCTGTGACTTTCTCGTTAAGAGGCGACAGCTATAGCCACTTCACATCAGCGCCACCCTCTTTGTCAACTCCTTCACGTTCCCGTGTCTCTTGTAGTGTTGTAGTACTCGAGACCACTCTTGGTTTTGAGACCGGTCTCAAGAACACTTTTTGATGGTCTTGTCTCGGACTCGAACATTGAGGACTCTGGATTTTATTTCAAGACCACAACTGTGGAAATGTCACTAAATTGCCAGAATATTGTCCAGTTTATTTGTCAACATCTTTGTTTTTATTGGATGCAAAATGTACCGATTCAAATCCAAGAGATAACGTGACTTAATGCTAAACACATGTTTTTTTTACCGCTGTCAGGCCCACCGCCTTTCACTCGCACGTGTCACCCCCAGTGTTGCCAGATTGGGTGGTTTTCATTCTGATGTTGCTGGGAACTCTGGAAAGATTTTTGTTGGATTGTTGCACTTTGCCACATATTGTTAAATGACCTTGGCTTGTACTGATGTGTGTTCATGTTCAAACAGTAAATATATGTAACAATATATTGATCGGGGAGATTTTTGTCTGATGTGGCGGTTTTTAACGGATTTTTGGGGCTGGAAAACCTCGACTCTATCTGGCAACACTGGTCACTCCAAGAACGTGAGAAGTGATTGTCTGGGCGTGGGATAAGATGTCATCCAAATCATCAGTTATAAAATTTTGCTATTTAAATCACAAAGAATATACTTGTAACAAATATCCATTTATCTAACTTTTTTGGTATCTATATCTACTACTTTATTGAAACCACTGTGCATATATAGTTACCCTTGGTCTTGAGTTTGGACTTATGAAGATTGTTTTGCCACTTTAGGTGTTTAAGACTTGGCATGTGATGAAACTTCTCCCAGTTTAACAGCTGTGTAATTTTATTGTTGAATTAAATGAAGTTAGGCCACTGAATGTCTGATTTCTTTATGTAGCTTTGAAAATTTATAAAAGCTGATGCATTCATTCAAAAGCAAACTTAAAGTTGCAGTATGTAACTTTTATTAAAAAAAATATATTTTTAATTTAATTTATTTTATTTGAGGTCTTGGTCTCGACTTGGTCACTGAACCTGAAAGTCTTGGTCTTGTCTCGGTCTCGGGTTAGGTGGTCTTGGCTACAACACTAGTCCCTTGCATCTTGCCTGTTTTGTAATCCAGGGTTTATTTTGCTTTTCAAGGTTTTTGAATACTCGGCCTCCTGCTCGTCGGTCAGGGTGAAGTACAAAATGCTGAAATGACAGTGTTGTTAAGGTTTCTTTATTTGTCATTCGCATCACATGTGGTACATGTAGTGAAACAAAATGGTGCACACAGGGTCCCAGTTTCATCCAACAAAAGTATAAATTGTAAAGAAAAACAGTAATAAGATCTAATATGAACTATATAAAACTGTTCAAATTAATGCTGGATATAATATATAATAATATTTTTCAATTATTGTTTTTTTTTTATTTGTTATTGATGCTTTTGTTTTTGGTGTAGTTAAAGGAATAATAATTGTTCATCTAGTATAATTAACTTAAATAGATACTATATTGATGGATAAATATGGGATTAGTTGTTATATGTATGGATTATACATGTAATGATTGAAAGATTATGTAAGAGGTTAAGGAGTGGGAATTTTGACAAGTTTATACTTCTACCCACTCCCTTGAATATGTAAAACAAAAAGTTTTGACATTATGCTTCATGCTATTTTTATTTTTTTTACATATTCAAAAAATAATAAACTAAGAAATATGCTGAAAGAAATATGCAAAGCTGACGGTGAAGGTCTGAGCTGCTGCGACCTTTTGGAGACTGACACTACTTAAAGTCAGAAGCATCAACTCAAACTTAACTCCGTTTCTCCAAACTCTGGTCATTCAAAAATAATCTGCAAAAGGTTAGATATTATCTGTTCAAATCTTTTCCACAGAGTCTCACATCAGAAGGTCAACAACGTTGCATTAAAGAAACAAAAAAGTAAAGCAAAGTCATGAAATGTCCCACGGTGGCGTGTCCAATTATTATTTGAATAACGACAGGTGGCGTTCTGACAGCTGCACAACAGCCAAACTCCTCAGAGAGGACCATGATTAAAATGTTACCACCGTAAAATCTAAGCAACATTTTCTGGGGTCGCTTTGACTGAAAAGCACAGAATAACCAGGTGTGTGAAAAGGTTTTAGGCCCGCTGTCTTTCTCCTGAGCAATGCGGGGATGAATAATTCAGAGAGAATATTAAAGACGAGCTGCGGCGTGTTCGGGTGAGAATTATCTGTCAGCTTTGTGCTGGTTGGGAATCACCGAGCGCATCATTTCAGGCTGCTGGCAGCTCTTCACAGAAAACCACAGAATCCAACTTCAACTTTTAAGAAGCGCTTCAGTTTTAGTCCAGAAAATATCAGAAACAGCTTTCATGTAGTGCGTGGGACAGATGAGTAGATTAAACAGAATTATTCTCCAAATTACGCACGCGTTGTTCGTTTATCTATCTGCTGTATTTTACACTTTATTGAGAGAACTCTTGAGTCAGCATTGACACAGCATTTATTTTATTTCTTGTATTATTTTTAGCATCCAACTACTTTTGTTCATTTAGTGCTATTTTAATATAACAATTTGCTACTTTTGGCTTTTATTGTGTGAATGTTTATGAAGCATTCACTTTATTGTGATACATTTTTCTTCCATAAGTTTTTCGGCATCTTCTTCGTTCTACACTTTTTGTGCTATTTCAACAAATCATAAATCAAAACGTTCAGCTCTTTCAGGACAATCCTGCTATGACTTTTGGTATTGGTGTAACTTTAGCTTTTTGAAATATTTAGCCTTTTCTGCCATTTTTTTCCTCATAGAAAATTAACTGAGCTCATTTTACATGCTTCAAATGTTTAGATGTGTTGACAACCTTTTACTGCTCCTTTCACATTCTGTTCTGGTTCAGCTTCTTTCAGCTTCCTTTTGCAAATTGAGACTTTTTTTTTCAGCTACTTTCAGCAGTTTTTTTCAGCTGTTTTGTGCTCCTTTCAGATTTTTTCCGTCAACTACACATCTTCTTTAAACTTCTTTCTGCTAATTTCAGCATGTTATGCTCCTTGCAGCTTATTTATGCAAGTTTCAGCTTTTTCTGCTATTTCAGATACTATTTAGCTGTTTTTATGCTAATTTTAGCTTTTTCAGCTGAATCCACATTTTCTTCCACTCATTTACACTTTTTAAAGCCTAATTCAGAAAATAAATTACTCTCTCCACTTCCTTCTGGTAATTTAAGCTTCTTTCTATCTTTTTAGCTACTTTTAAGCATTTTGCTAATTTCAGCTTCTTTCAGATAATTTCCACTGCTTTATGCTCATTTCTGCTTCTTTCAGCCTAACTGGGCAAACACGTGTTCTTTCTGCCTTTTTCTGCTAATTTAAGCTTGTTCTACCTTTTCAGTTATATTTTGAGCATTTTTTTAGCTGATTTTAGATGTTTTCAAAGAAATTTAAGTTTTTTTGTGGTAACTTCTGCTACTTTCAGCCTAATTAACTTCTTTCTAATAATTTCAGCTTGTTATGCTTCTTTCAGCATCTTTCTACTAGTTTCAGCTACTATTTAGTTGTTTATGCTATTTTTAGCTCTTTTAGCTAATTCCACATTTTTAGCTCATTTCAGCTCTTTTCACTTCCTTCTGTTACAAAGTAGTTTAAGCTTCCTTCTGCTTTTTCAGCTATGTTTCAGCAATTTTTTTGTTGCTAATTTCAGCTTTTTAATAGCTATTTTCATAATTTCTGTGCTCATTTGTGCTCATTTAAACCTAATTCAGCAAACATATTTTCTTTCTGCTTTCTTCTGCTAACTTAGGCTTGTTCTTCCTTTTCAGCTAAAATTCAGCATGTTTTAGCTAATTTCAGCTGTTTTTCAGCAAGTTAGTCTGCAACAAGCATTCACACTGCATTTTTGCAGGAATTTCAATTTTGCTAGTTTCATTTTTTGTTAGTTTTACTTTTTAACTAGTAATTAGTTACTTTTAGCAAAAGTAACAAACAAGTCGCCTCCCGACTTCGAGCAGAACTCGTGGTGGTTTCAGTAAAACATGGAGAAATAAAGCCCGTCCAGCTAAAGGGGAAAAAAATGTCAAGACTTCAAGGTTTTTGACCTTTTCAGCGAGCATTTATGTTTCTCTGACCATGGCACTGGGACAGAAAATAAAAATCAGCTTCCAGTCTTTATGGAGCCTAGCGTTAGAAATAAATGTCAAAGATTTAATGTTGACTCTGTGAAGTTCATAAAAAATATACAAGAACAAAACAATCCAAGCTGAACTGAAGCCAGAGTCACCGAGAAGCAAGGAGAAGATTAAAATCCTAAAAGTATGACTCAGTTTTAGTCAAACCTGTCGGGACGTGCTGTTAGCTGTTGTTTTTCCCCAACAAGGAGCTAAAAAAGCCTCAAACTGGTTTGAGTTTTACCATCACATCTGACAAGCCCATCCAAACACTTATTTCTTGACCCTTTCAGCTCATCTGGACAGATTTAATAAGCTGACAGGAGCCGTTGAGGCACGACCCGTGAATGCTAATTCCCCCCGCAGTCCCTCGGTCTGGCTGCATAATGCACCTGATGGCGTCCAATCAGAAGGTGAAGGTCGCTGTTTGACACCGGCAGAAAGCTCTTTGTCATTTTACAGAATAACGTGGCGTCACATCGTGTTGCTGCTCTGCTCGCACGAGCGTAACGCACACTGACCAGACACGTCTCTACGAACACACGCGCGTCTGTTTTATTCTTGTGCTTGCTCGTTCCGCCCACCTGAACGCCTCTGCAGGGCAACTGGTCTTAGTGGGAGATAACGGGAGTCCAACGCACGAAGGGCTAATTGTTGCTTTGAATGCTTTTCGACACAACGGTTTTCAGTTTAAAGAAAAGCTTCACTCGGCCAACCATTGAGATCCTTTTACATCCAACCCTATAACAGAGGAAGCAGAACCCCCCCCCCCCCCCCAGTTTACATTCCTTCTCCCTTTCACTCTTGAGTCATCCTCAACTGCTTTCCCAAAGATATCAGATGTTAAACTTCAGTCTTGTGCTCAGAGGCTGCAGTGTTAATCCAGCTCGTTGCCTCGGTCACGCCATGCTCCAAAGGAAAGAAAGCAAAACAAACCAACAAAAAAAAAATGGGGGTAAAGCGTGTCGGCACCTGCAGCATTCGGCGCCGATGGGAGTTGAGCTTTAGCAAGAAGAGGTGAGTCAAATTTTCCACCTGGGTTTTAAAAAAGACTAAAAAAAACCAGAACAAATATGAAACATTAAGTGCAAAAACATCGCTGAGCTTTAACTGATGATGGCCTGAATCCGTAAAACCGTGCACTGGACTCAAATATAAGTTGCTGATTACGTATAGGATGTTCAATAAATCTCCAAAATGTGATGAACTAAAGAAAAAATCTGAAGTATCTTTCATGAGACGATAACAACAAGAACTAATGAAATGAAATAACGAAAAACGTCTTTATGCATCAAATGTCTCATGACCTGCTAGAGAGTTGTAGAGATCAAATAAACACCTTTTATCCAAATTTAAATTAAAATCATTGCATTGCACTGCCTTCAATGCCTCAGTTTTAAACTATGACCCTTTTTATGTATAAAAATGATGGAGTTACGAACAGTTTGATCAAATCTATCTGATGCGATCAGCTCTCAGAGCATGAGACGTAAATAACTCTCAGTTACTAACACTTTAACATTTTTATCTGTAAAACTGACGGAATTACAGCTTCTTTGTGTTTGCTAAACAACAATAAGCTGAGGCGGCCATCTTTAGTTGTAGATGTACAGTAGTCCCTCATTTATCGTTCTCTGCCACCTACCATTGCTCTGAGCCACGCCCACTTCTCCGCTGCAGAGTGGGGATCATGACACGCAGCAGGACGAAGCTTCTCCTTCAGCTGTGGGCTGCACACAGGTGTAGCAGGTGCTAAATAACTTTAAATAATTCATAAAAAAAATCCATGCCTATCGTGCGGCTCATCCATCAATCAGCCAATTGTGTGTTATGCCCAATCTTATTTTGAAAAACCGCGATAGAGCAAGTCTGCGAAAAACGAACGGTGAAGTAGCGAGGGACTACTGTACATCCAATGTTTGCTTTCTGAGAGGCTTCGCTAAAAATCCGTCCAGTGATTTGTTGGATATTTCGCTAACAAATAGGGTTGGTACCAACAGCTAGTTTGAGGCAATGACATCTTGCACGATGTTCAGTGCTCAAAATATGTGTTGGGTGTGAATCTCAGCTACTACCACAACGTTTTAGCTCAAAATGTGTGAAATTTATTGACTCGTAGCGTTTGCTGTCTGTGACTTATAAACAGTTTTTTTTTTTTAAATCAATATATATTTATGTAGATAAAAACATATTTGAAGGTGAAAAAAGTATTTTTCCCACTTAATTTGACATTAATTTCTGGGGCGCCTTTCATCACTTTAAACATGGATAAGCGTGTTTTTTGTTGCAGTGGTTGTGGCAGCCATCTTGAATGAGTTGTAGTTGTGCATCCAATGATTACTTTATCTCTTTCAAATATGTTCCCTGGTTCATAAAATATTTTGCTAACACATTATATATTTAAGAGTGGTGGCTGTGGTAGCTTGGTGGTCAGTGCCAGGTTCTTGTAAGCCTGAAGTTGCGGGTTTGAGCCCAGGTTGCGTCAGAAAGGGCATCCGACGTAAAACATTTAACAAATCTGAGCGAGTTCGCTCTCTGTGGCGACTGCTGCATAAGGGAGCAGCCAAAAGAAACTTATTATTATAAATTTAAGAGTGTTTGACTATACGAGGGGGCCAGTCAGCATATTTATAGAAGTGGGCATTGCCCCCTTTGTACCCCCTTGGTTGTGCCCCTGTCTATTTCTAAAATTAAAATGCCCTGTTTTAAATAACATGCTTAATGTGTTCAACTGTCTACTAGCACGTAAATCTCCTCTCCTAACTTTTCTTTGAAAGCCTGAAATGCAAGAATAAATGTCAAAAACAAATAACGCCATGTCAGTAAAACGAGAAGATAAATAACGCTGGTCGGTCCGTTTTAAAAACACCTTCTCGTGTTGAGAGTTTGAACACTCCGTCATAAATCACAGTTAATTAATCCGCTTCCAGTTTATCAGCAGTTTAATGTTGATCAGCTACAAATAACAAGACGGACGACCGTCTTTAGAAGTTTCTTGTTTTCCAAAAACTGTAAGAATTAATGTCCTGGCACCACTCTGTGTTCGCTGCGTACCAGAAAATAACTCTGACGCCTAAGGTGACAATAAAATCTAATGAACAGTCCTCAAAAACAAAATGATCATTTACCTACATTACACAGCAAAGCTTTAATATCTTGTTTTTATGATATTTATGCTAACTACCTTTTTCTCTTTTGTACCAGGAGGTCAAATATCTTAATTTATAGTGTTTTTAATCAAAACTCTGTAAAGATTTGGTAAATCTGTGCGTCGACGGGTCCGGCTCACCTGAGACGATGCACGATTCCTCGCACTCCTCCCGGGTCTCAAAGTTGTTGTCGTTTCCTCCGCAGCCTCCGTACTCGAAGAGCTCGCAGCGGCCCGTGTTCACGTTGAAGAAAAAACGCTCCTTGATGGCCTTGCACGGCCCCGGCTCGTCTTTCAGGGCGCACAGCTCGTTAAAGATGAGCGGCTCCGGTTGGGATCTGTGCCCTGCGGCGGGTAAAAAAGAAGCAAAACTTTAAGCGTTCTTTTAAGTTGAAGGATCGTTTCTGAAGAAGTCACGGCACAGACTTGGACCCAAACCTTCAGACATGGAGCAGAGGAGTTTCATGTCTGTGCAATTTAACGTGAGTTTTAAACCATTCTTGTTTGTCATAAAAAGCCAGTGATCAGTTGGTTGCCACAGCAAATTGACTTTACTGAACCCATACATTTCTATAACTCAGCCATTTTTACAGACGTGGAGCTAAACTCATGACATCTTAAGCCATAAGCTCTCATTGATTTCTCAGATCACACTATTGGTCGATTCTCTTAATTATCTCTCAGATCGGAGTCAATGTGTTCAACATAATGGTACTTCTTCCAGCTATTTATCAGTCAACAATGGTGTACCGCAAGGCTCAGTCTTAGGTCCCACCCTCTTCACAATCTACATAAGTAATGTAGGTCAGATCATTCCTGATGCATCCTTACATTTCTATGCCAATGACACATTTGTTTAGTGTCGAGCTAAATCAGTTGCTAAGGGTTTTCAGCTCTTACAGTCTCTATTTGACATCATCCAGTCAGATTTGTTCCATCTCAAACTGGTGCTAAATGCTGATAAAACCAAAGGGATGTTGTTTTCAAACAGGAAGTTGGAACCAGCAGTCCTTCCTTCTATCTTATCTACAAATGATGTTCCTATTGAAGTGTGTCGATTCTTACAAATTGTTATGAGCCTGGGGCACACTGGCCTTACTGTTTTGTCCTTTGGACATGTTTTGGGTTTTTATTGGCTAATTAGCGTTTAATTGTTTTGGGCTGTGGTTTGTTCCACCTTTCCATAAATAGGCTGGTTTCAGGGCGCTCGGCTTCTTAGACTCCCACATTTATGAGCTGCCTCTCACAGGCTCACTGTTTTTTTTGTTTTTTTTTTAACCCTAACAGGCTCCCTGTTATTATTTTTTTTCTTGGCCTCTCAGAAGCTCTCTCCCTTTGGGCTCATTTTTTGTTTGACTGCTCTGTGGCCGCCCTTCGATTTCTTTATTTTTGAACTTTGTTCACCACCTTGGGTTTTTTTTTTCAGTGAAGGTATATTTAGTAAATTTTTTGTATATTTTTTGTAAATTTGGCCTGGTGGGACCGGTTGTCCTGTTTTCAACCTTTTCTTTTGCTGCAGGTGTTTTTTAAGGGTTCTTGTAGTCTGGTACCCAGCGGCTTCAACGGCCCTGTATAGGGTTGGCCCACTGTGGTACCTTTTTGTTCTGTTTGACCGACTCACCAGGTCCATCTTTCAGTGGACACTTTGGGTTTTATGTCATTTTGGTGGACACAGGTGTTGGGGGTTCTTCGTCTTTTTTTTCCTAAACAGGAAGCTGTTTTTTAATAAATTGAATGTTGAACGTGTCCTCCTTTTAATGTGTTGTGTTCTTGGTGGACGTAACACAAATGTACTTGGGAATCTTGGTTGATTCACACCTCTTTATAAGCCTCATGTTGAAAACTTAGTAAAAAAAAAAAAAATAATAAACTGGGTTTCTTTTTCAGAAATAGATCCTGTCTAACTCTTAATGCTAAGAAACTCCTTGTAACTGCAACTTTCCTTCCCTCCATTGGCTACGGTGACATTATTTACATGAACACTCCTACAAGCACCCTGCAGATGTTGGATTCTGTCTATCATGGTGCGCTAAGATTCATAACTGGCTGTAACGACCGTACCCATCACTTCACCCTGTATTCACTGGTTAACTGGACATCATTAACTTCACACAGACTCTGTCACTGGTACATTCATCCATTATCTTTTACCCACTTATTCCATTTTGGGTCACGGGGGTCGCCGGTGCCCATGTCCAGCAATCACTGTGCGAGGGGCGGGGTACACCCTGAACAGGTCACAAATCCATCACAGGGCCACATGGAGACAAACAACCATTCACTGTCTCTCTCTCACACCTAGGGACAATTTAGAGTTACCAATCAGCCTAACATGCATGTTTTTGATCTGTGGGAGGAAACCGGAGTACCCGGAGAAAACCCACACATGCACAGAGACCATGCAAACTCCACCCAGAAAGGCCCCTGGACCAGGATTTGAACTGGCAACCTTCTTGCTGAGAGGCAGCAGCTCTACCAGTTGCGCCACCATGCTGCCCACTGGTACATGTTCACCTTTAAATCACTTCTTGGTCTGTTGCCTTCATGGACCTCCTCTTACATGTCACTTTTGTCAGTGCAGCTACAGCGTGCGCTCCCAAGACATCATTACCTTTTAAAGTATTTTATACTGTTTTATAATGTAGCATGTTTTATTTAGTTTTATATCACTTCTTTTATTTACTTTTCCGTTCATATGCTTTTATATGAATGTTTATTGCTGTGTGTCCCTCATATGTGTTTGTTTAAAACTGGTTTCTCTTGTAAATGAGTCCTCATGGCAAAATGAGACTAACCTGTATAAATAACGGTTGAACGACTAAAGTTTGGTGTGGTAGTAGCTGAGAGTCATCCTCTACACATACTGAGCAGATGCCTCATACAACTGCTGGTTTAAAATATGCAACACCTCCAATATTAACAGTGTTTTTGCATTTTAAAATACCTCGTGCACATTCGTCCGGGTTTATTTTTTGGGCTGTGAATAAAAGCTTATCGGTGAACAGCCAGCAGAAGGCCCAACGGAGGCGGGAGGCTGCTGCAGGGAGAAAACCGAGCCAAGGCGTTGCAAATTTCCCAGCGTGCACCACACAGCAGCACTCTGAACTGCAGCAAATCGGTTCATTTACCACACAGGCTGAGAGAGCTGTGTTAGATGATCAGAGCTGATATGAAAGACACGTTTGGTCTCTTTGCTGGAACTCCGAGATCATATCGGCCGTCCACGTAGACACAGAACAGCTCCCTAATGTCAGAATTGATCTTTTTTCCCTCCCGTTTAGAAAAAGTTCAGCTGCTCTGAAAACGAGCGTTGCGAATGTTGAGCCAGTATCTGAGCGAGCAGCAGGGAGGAGCTTCTCTCGGCCTTCGTCTCTGTTGTTTTTTTTTAGGTCAGCCCTCGGTTCTCCTCACCCCCTCTCAGATCTCTGTCCTGAGCTGCAAACGGTCAACACTCAACACTCAAAGTGGTTAAAATGTCCCTAAAGCTAATGATCTTGTGTAATAAAGCAGACGATATGGGGGAGTTATCCCACATAGCAAAATGTAACGCTTTATTCATACAATGCATATTTGAACGTGCATTATGGTTAGATTCAAGATGTGAGAACAAACAACTTAAAAGTCACATTTCTCTCAAACTAAGCACTCGTTTCAAACCCTGCAGAGCGTTATATCATTCGGCTGATGTGCCATTTCTGTTTATGTCTCTTTCTAGTAACGTGCATGAAATTCAAAACCAATATGAAATATTTGCCCGTACATGTTGATGGGATTGTTGCAAACTGAAAAACGAGCCCTTTTTTTAAGAGCTCTACAGCTCAGACCACGTCAGAAACATCCTTTAGAGCTTAAACTGGTCACAGAAACCTGGACTTTACGACTGAACGGGTATTTTAAAACCTTTTAAGGTTTTTACACAAGCACTGTTTATGTTGGATGATTTTTAATGAACATTTTACCACAAAATGATCAACTCAGAGGGTGATCATGTCACTTACATTTGAGCTGTCAGAACTTTCCAAAGATATACAAACTTCTTTACATTTTTAAATGTTTTTTGTTGTTTTCTTTCACTCAGTGTTTCTCTCACTGCTTTAAGATTTATGTTTTTTTGTTGTTGTCATAATTTAAAATGTGGAGCGAGCACACCCATTGACTCCCATTATTTTTTAAATCTGATTTTCTCTTCAGCCTGTCATCTCAAACACAAAACACTCAAAATAAATGAACTAGAGAAATTGCTTTTCCTGCAAAAATACACTGTGAATGCTTACGGCAGAAGAACTTGTTGAAAAACAGCTGCAATTAACTAAAAACTGGCTGAAAGGTAGCTGATATGGAAGAACAAGCCTACGTTAGCAGAAGAAAGCAGAAGGAACATTTATTTGTTGAATTAAGTTCAAATAAGCAAAAATGAGCACAAAATTAGGAAACTGGCTACAAAAGCTGAAATTAGCAAAAGAAATAGCTGAAAAGTAGCTGAAAATTCAGAAAGAAGGTTAAAGTACCAAAAGCAAGTGGAAGGAGCTGAAATGAGTTACAAAAATTCAGAATTAGCTGAGAAAGCTAAATTTAACACAAAACAGCTAAAAAGTAGCTGAAATACAAGAAAAAGCTAAAACTAGCAGAAAAAGCCGAAAGGAGCATAACAAGCTGAAATGAACAGAAACAAGTTATTTAGGTTAAAAGTATCAGAAAGTTACCACAGAAAACTTGACTCTAACAGCTGAAGTTAGCAAAGAAATAGCTGAAAAGGAGCCTAAAAAGCAGAAAGAAGTTTACCGGTAAATTACAAGAAGGAAGTGGAAAGAGCACATTTTTGCTGAATTAGGCTGAAAGAAGTTAAAAAATGTGGAATTAGCTGAAAATTTATGTGAGCATAAAAACAGCTAAATAGTAGCTGAAAAAGCTGAAACTTACAAAAAATAAGCTGAAAGGAGCATAAGAAGCTGAAATTAGCAGAAAGAAGTAAGAAGGAGCACAAAAATGTTGCAGTTAGCATAAAGAATCTGAAAGGAGCACAAAACAACTGGAATTAGCTGAAAGTAGCTGGAAAAAGTCTAAATTTGCACAAGGAAGCTGAACGAAGCTGAACCAGAACAAAATGTGAAAGGAGCAGTAAAAGGTTGTAAACATATCTAAAGATCTGAAGGATGTAAAATGAGCTCAGTTCATTTTCTATGAGGAAAAAAATGGCAGAAACACTAAATATTTCAAAAAGCTAAAGTTGGACCAATACCAAAAGTCCTAGCAGGATTATTCTGATAGAGCTGAATGCTTTGATTTATGATTTGTTGAAATAGTTTGAAAACTGCGGGACGAGAAACGCACCAATAAACATACAG